CCAGAACTGGGTTTGTTGTATCTGCAATTGCCTTTTATCTTTTCAGTCTTGCCCTGTACAGGCTTTGCATCCCCTCCCCTTTCCACAAGGGATATCAGCAGCACCCTCCTTCAGGCATTTCATTATGTTTTTCCTCTGATGAACTGTGTCTCTGTGTCTTTATGCTGGGTGCAAAGTACTCATTTCGCATAGAGGTGCTCAGAGTCTGTTTTGTCCAATCTTTAGGTCAATTTTCCATTTAATGCAGTTTATTGGTATTCTCACAATACAAAGAGAAGCCTCGGAACTAAACCAAGCGATGGAGAGAGATGGACACGTGGTTTCATACCAAGTTTATTTCTTTTTTTGTTTGTTTGTTTCATAATCACTTCTTTTGCACAACAACAACCTCAAGTTGACAATGAAATGCACGTGGTAGACCGAGGGGAACCGGACAAGGCTCTGTTGGTGATGGAAAGCCCTTCCACGACACCGCGCCAGCTCCCACCCGCCACGAGCAAAGGTGTGAATCCTGCCCGGGGTGCTGAGCCCTGGGGTTACAGCTCAGCCTCCCAAACCTCTGCCTGTGGCCATGGGCCGGTTTGTTCCTCCCGGGGTTGTGAACCACGACTCGGTCCTTTGGGACTTTCCATTCTCAGAGCACTTTGGATGCGTTGGCTCTTCCCTGGTCCAGCATCAGCGTCCCCTTGTCATGGGGTGGGGAAACTGAGGCCCGGGGGTGCCGGGATGCCACAGGGGGTCCCACTGCTTCCCTGGGGACCCCGGAGCACCCAACCACTGGCCAGTGCCCCTCTTCTGCTTTACTTAAAGACCCCTGACTACAAAGGTGGAGTTTATTGGTCTTACGATGTCATCTCATCCCTAGCATGGATAGTAAGAAGTCTCTAGCACCGTAAACAGCCATTCCCTGACTCATTTCAAGTGGTGTTAAGGGTGTATGTGCATGTCTCGTGTCCACTCTGTGCCTGTGTGCGCAGCCACGGCGACGGAGGGAGGGAGGGAGAGAGGGAACACAAGGAACGCCAGGAGACGGGCTCTGCAGAGCCAGGGCCGGATCACGCCAGGCTGAGCAAAAGCTGAAGGTTACAGTGGAAAGGGAGCAGCCCCAGCAACCGCCCCCCGGCGCGGGACGTGCCGCCGTCCCTGGGAGGCCAGCACAAAGGTAACCCCGCGCCTGGGGTACAGCGAGGGGCTGCAATGACTCCGCAGTGAGAAGACAAGGAACAGGCTCAGCCCAGAAGCAGTCTGAGGGGGCAGCATCCTTGAAAGCACCCATTTACAGACAGAGCTGAGCTCTTTGCTCAGCTGGGAGCTCATTTAGCTTCAGCTCCTGTGTCCTCCACAAATCAGAGGCCCTTCTCCAGGAGTGCTCTCTGAAAGGTGCATGGATTCACAGAACAAGCTGTCACCATCTCTTTGCTCCCTCACGTTCGTGGTCCAGGCAGGGCTGCTGCCGCCCGCCTTGAGGATGCTCTCCCTACCAGGCACAAAGTCTCGTGTCCATGTGCTGCTGCAGAAATGGGGCTGCTAAGTTACAAAGCTTGATTTATAAACATCTGTGGGAATCAATGAAGAACTTTAAGCCCTACCATAAGGAAGGTGGTCCTGGGAACTGAGGGGTTCATGCCGTGTCCATGGCTGCGGTACGTGGGAACAGGCCAGGAATGAGGGAGGCTGGGGCAGTAAGGATGTTAATGAGGATACTTGATTAATCTCAACTGAGGCGTGAACTATGCTGCTGCACACAACCATTAGCAACCCTGGGATATGGAAAGGCATGAAACAACCGTGATCCCGGCCTGTGCCACGTGCTGCCAGGCAGGCACAGCGCTGCATCCGCAGTGCGGGCACTGGTGCAGCCAAAGCAATCACACATTTCCCTGATAGCGTCCAGTGGCACTGGACAAACGCCAAGCTCCCTAAATCCCTGTCATACACATCTGCACCGGGCAAACATCGCTCTGCCACTCCCATGGATGAGGTGGGTTCCTTGACACAACGCGTCTCGGCAGCAGGTACCCGGCGTTACCGGTGCAAAACTCTCCCTGCACATCCCTGCTCCTCCGACCCTGCAGGAACACGTTTTCCAGCCGCATCCACTGTCCCTCACAGCACTGACCCCACGGAGGGGAGAGAAATGAGATTCCCAGCGCTCCCCCCGTGTGCCAGGCCACTCTCCTGTGCGTTTCCCATGGGATCATTTTTTGCCAGGCAAAGCTATTGCAAGAATCAGTCCCTGCCTGAGGTCCTGGCTTGCCTCCGGAGAGGGAGGGGAAGCGCAAAGGGCCGAGGTGGGAGATCCAGGCAGGATCCGAGCCCAGAGACTCCATGGCTGTATGGGGAGGATGGCTCTAACCAGCACAACCCACCACCAACCACTTCTCCTCCAGCTCACACCAAACATCAGGGCTCCTCCTGCTTCCCCTGGGCACAGCCGGGACCCCTCTCACCAGGAGCTTTGGGTTTACACTAAATTATATGTACTAGAATTGAAGCATCACCTCTATTCCACCGCTCAGCCCTTCCTGAGGAGCAGCCTGTCCCTGCTCCCACCGCCCTGCCCGCAGGACTCAGCTGCCTCCAGCTCCCGGCTCCATGGTCCAGCATTGCCCGTGCCATCACCCGGCCCTCATCCGACTCCATCTGAGCCCCCAGGAGAGAGTGGAAACGGTCGTTTCTCTCGTCTTAAACCCCTGCTCTTGAGTACAACATTTCTGATAATAATAATCATAATAATCATCATAATCATAGTACTAAAAACAGTATTTACAACAAGCCTCAGGTCAGAATTACACACCAAGCAAACACTCAGCACCACAGAGAGCAGGACAGGGTTAATATCTCGCAGGTACCTTCTCAGATCCCACCAATGCGGGACACAGACATTTGACGGGTTCAACCATTTCTTACACACAAACATCGTTGTTTAAATTACTTTTAAATTATTAGTAGTATTTTTTTTAAACTTTTTAAAATTTCTTGCCACTACATGATGAGGTGATGCTGGAGGTGATGCCGCTCTACAATGATGCTCATCTAAGACAGCTGCTACTATAAACTGATCATTAAGCTACTGTTAAGAAATTCAACCCTCAGTTTCCTTCCCTTTGCCCTCTTTGCCCTCAATCCTATGATTTGTTTTTAGTCACTGCCAGCACTGGGGCTCTCTAACAGTCCTGTCCCCTCCCCAGCCCAGGCAGAGAGGTGTGGGAATAAGGCAGCCCTTCCTTTTAGGAGCAGAATTCCCTAACATCACACGCTGGCCATTTGAGGGATCCCTCCCGAATCCAGCTGGGAATCCTGGGGAGATTAGCAAAGAGCCCCGGGGTTTGTTCTCTTTGGCTTTCCGTGGGGTTTCTGCGACCGCCTGATGCTCAGCCCAGGCTGAAATCGATTCTTTACCTAATTAAAGCATGGGGTAGACAGAAAACTTCAGCTTCTGACCAGAATCAGCAATAATTCCTTTCTTAGAGGGGCAACGGGATCGGTATTCCCTGGGCAAACCCTGCTCTAGCTCCTCATGGCTTCCAGCACAGCACAGTCCCATGGAGCCCGGGGCTGGGCCGTGCCCAGGTCTGCACCCCTCGTTTGCTTAAACCATTCCCCAAGGATCCTGCATCCCGTGCCCAGACCGGCTCTTTGGAGGCGCAGCACAGGACACCAGTCGTTAATAACTACACAGCTCGGTGCCTTTGGTGCATTGTGGGGTCTGCGAGGGCAGCCAGGACAGAGGCACCCAACCGCTGCCCCGGTCCCTTAAAAACAAACAAGCCAGTAACCAAGAGCACTGGTCAGAGTGGGAACTCTTTTACCTTCTGCCTCACAGGAAAGCAGCTTCCACTGAATCCTCTGCAAAAGCTGCTGCAGGGCCATGCTCCCTCAGGGCTGCATCCCCGGCACCACGTCCTTGTGGAAGGTGGCCGTTCCCTGCTTTCCAGATGCAACATCTCCATTTGGTTTCTCCAGGCAGGAGCTGGGACAGGGTGAGCAGGTCTGTGGGTCTCGGCACAGAGTCCCTTGCAGTGCGTGGTGGGTGCTGGGGCCTTGGCTACCTCCGTAAGCTGTGACACTAGAAGATGAGGAAGTCCACGGGCTTTGGCAGTCACCTACTAAATCAGACATCACTGCCGTGCTTGCATGTTCTCTGCTCATCCCTACCTCCATCAGGAGGCAGTTTTGTCTTATAAATATGTCTGGAAAAGCTAAAGTTAGACAAGGAACGAGTGGTGGGGGGCATCTCTTCACCCTTACTGAGGAATTGGTCCCCCTTAGCTCCATCTCATCCAGGTCTGGAGGTACTGGGCAGCTGCCGTGTCCTGCCTCCTAATGGCACTGAAGAGTCCTACGTGTCTTTGGGAAGAGGGAAGGAGGATGATTCTGTTCACTAAAAGGCTATTTCACAACCATGCACTGCCTCTATTTGATTTGCTTTCCTACTGGACTGAAATCTCATGTTGTGGGAGCGCTGGAGACCTGCAAACCGAGCACCCTCTCCCAGGGCTTCCATGGATTTGAGGATGCAATTGTCATCTGTGGGTCTCCCAGGCTGCCTGGCCAAGACTTCTCAGTCCCTGCTCTGTGGGGAGAGGGTGGCTCAGTCCACTGGCTCCTTCTGCTGCCAACCAGTGTTGGGGCACTTGCCATGCCCCTGCACTGAGCTCTGGGCAGAGACACTCACCTCCTTCCTCACGTGTTATCAAAGAACCACCCAAAGATGAGGATGTTGGGTCACTGCCTGCCTGGGCTGGCTCCAGATGCAGCCAGGAGCTGGGGGTTTCTGCACACCACGGCTCCTGCACCATCCATCCCTCTCATTCCTCTCTCCTACCACTGGAAACACGGGGCTCTTCCCTATTCCACCTCACACACAGAAATTACCACTTAGTCTGAAACTGATATTTGGCTCAGAGCAAACACCAAGAGGAGTAAAAGCCCCGGGTAAGAAATCCGGATCTCTGTGACACTGCTGGTTGAATTTATTAATATCTTATTCATTATTCTTTTTACATCAGTTTAAGAAATATTTGTTTTTTAAAAAAGGACAAAACCCTCCAAAGAAGCTGTTTGATTGACTGATCGATCGATTGATTCTCTATTTCATGTGAACTAGTTGCTATTCTGCTTAGAGGTCCCTATGATCTGTGAATCCTCACAAGTACTGACATTAAGGATGCAGAGAGAGAGAAGCGTGTAGCTGGGGGACGAACACCAGGGGAGGGGTGGGGGAAGGATGGAGAATCGAAGGTCGCATCTAGACAAACAAAATCAAATGTGTTGGTTGGTCGATTGGTTGGTTTGTTAATCAGGAATCAGGTGCTAGATGTGTAGAAAAGCCCTTTATCCAGAGATCTCCTCCCGCTGTTCCTTGTTCCTGCGGACCTCAGCTGCGTGCAGTTCCTGCAAAGACGGGAGAGACGACACCAGGATGACACTGTCTGATTGTGAGATCTCTGTTCTCCTTCTCTCCTGCACCCTGGGTTTGCATCAGACAAAAGAAGAGACCAACTTCCCATCTGACACACCACGAGGGCCGGGGGTTATGCCTGCAAGGAGCAAAGCATCACACCTGCAGGAGCCTGGAGGTTATGGGAACCTCCAGTGAACACGTTCATGTGCCCTCTTCTGCAAAGCCCTCTGTCCACACAGCCCACGGCCATGGCGTGGGCCTGATCCTGTGCCTTCGAGCTTGTGCTTGCAAGATGGTATTTTCTCCATTGACCTTGAAGGACACATCCCCATTATTTGTGCTGCTCCAGAGTGGAGCTGCTCCACAGCAGCAAAACGCCTGCTCCCCTGTGCCCGTCACGCTGGGACAGCCCCGCAGGGCCCAGACCCCAAATTCCACCCCTTGGGAATCCCCCCCCGCCCTCTCCCAGGGCGCCGCACTCGCCTTCTCGCGGAGCCGCTCCCTCAAGGCGGCGAGATGTGCTTCACGGATCTCCCTGCTCAGCTCCATCTTGTAGTTGAGCTTCTCCTCGGCCAGGCGGCTGAAGTTGTTGTTCTCCTCCAGCGCCTTGTGCAGCACCTCCCGCTCGTGTTCCCGCTTCTCCGCCAGCTGCTTCAGCACCTGAGCCTCCTGGGTCTGCCGGGGCAAGGCGTTGGCAGAGCCATAATGCAACCCCAGAGGCTCTTCCAGCCTCTGACTCCCCAGACGGGCTCCCTGACCACCTCCTCTGCTCAAACCTACTCTGCCACACCCCTCCATCCCATAACGCTCCTGCTTGGAAGATGCTTTGGCACCTTTTCCTGCCACGGGGCAATTCCCGTGGGACCTGGTGCTCTGGGTAGGCAGGAGATGCAAAACCGAGGTGCTGTGCAGGTGGGCACAGGGTCCCCTCTCTGAGTGTCACCTCATTTGTTGTTCAGCCTGGAGAAGGGAGGGCTCCAGGGAGACCTTAAGGCAGCTCCCAGTGCCTAAAGGGGTTAAAAGAAACCTGGAGAGGGGCTTTGGACAAGGGCTTGTAAGAATGGGACAAAAGGGAATGGCTTTAACCTGAGACAGGGGAGATTTAGATGTATCTTAGGAAGAAGTGAGGACTGAGAGGCCCCATACTGTGTGGTTTTAAGAACAGGAGGATGATGATGATGGACTCCAGTTCCCTGCCCCAATCAGGCTGCAGAACCTCTCTCCATGACTCCCATGTCTCACCTGACAATTTACAGTGGAATATGGTGATAAGTGTAAGAACACTTCCCACCCATCTTAGATCAATCCTGCTAAGCCAGTTTGGGGTTTGGTGCAATTAGGACCCATCACAGAAAAGTTGCTGTTGCTGCAGGACATCTCGTTACCTTCCTCCTCTCCTCTGCAGCCTCCAGCCTCCTCTGCAGCTCCTCCAGGGACAGGTCCTTCTTCTTGGGGGGGGAGGAGAGGATCGGGCTCTCGGGAGATAGATCTGAAGGGGACTTCAGGATCACTTCGAAGCTCTGGCCTGATGCCCTCTTATCCAGCTGCTTCACCTCCATATCTTCGGGTGGGAAAAAACAGGGACTGTGTGGATCTGTGACACTCAGGAGAGTGTTTACCTGAGGGCACTGAGCCCTTCACACAGGAATTAGGGGATTCCCATGTCCTGACCTGGGTGATTTTGTTCTATCCCCTAAGTTTCCCAATTATCAATCAGCTTCATCCCCCCCCCACATTCACAGCATAATTACAGGAAGGCCCTAGTGCTGTTAACCCCTTGGGTGTCACCCCAGTACGAAGCAGAAAGACCCTGCAAGCAGTTTCTTCCTGGGAAAATGCATGTAAGCTTAATAAAAATGAACTATGAAAGGAGACTGAACAGCAGGATCCTGGGCTGAGACGTGGATTGTTCCTCCACGATAAGCTCCCACGTTGCCTCAGGAACATCACACCAATGTACTTACCTCCATACTGGTAGATGGTGTTAGGATGGGGCTGGGTGTGGAAACAGGAGCAGATGAGGGAGAGCAGAGACAGCTCCTTCATTTTCTCCTTGTAGGCTGAAAAACAGAAAGCAGCAATGAGAAGGGAGTCTAATGCCAGCGGCAGCTCTTTTTCATGGAGAAGTGAAGCAAGTAGACACAAGGAAACCCCATTTGCAGCTACCAGACTCTATAGAGGCTTTTCCAGGCTGCCATAGCTTGCAAAAACGTGCCCAAGGAGCATCTGTTCTAGAGCAGATAAAATTAGCTGCCAGGGTGGCAAATGCCATGGGAAGACGCAGTAGGAATTTAGCACACCTAGAGGCCTAAGTGCAGGATTTTCCTTCCAAAGGAGCTGGAATGCTGCAGCCTGTGCAGTTACCACGCCAGGACAGACCCTTCCTCTACCCCATCTCCAGACTCAGATGTAAAGTGATGCACATCGACACCTGGAAACATTGCTCAGCCCCTGGCAAGTCGGGAATATTTCACAATGCAGCAGTTCTGCCATCAGGGGGAAGAGGCAAGAGGCAGCAACGTGGAGAACAAGTGGGCATTTGAGTGAAGAAGTGGTTCAGGGTGCTGCTAACGGGGGACGTGCTGCAACCAGCTGCTCAAGGTTCCTCCTTCCCTGCAGAAGCAGATCAGTGGATCCTGTCACCACCTTGGCCCACGCAGGCAGAGCTCGGTACTGGTCTGCAATCACGGTAAATGCCATTCCCACAACCTTCTGCAAAGGACGGGGGGATACGGAATCTCTTCGGGCTCTGCTGCTGTGAACCCTCCAGTTTGCTTCTCACGCCTGGGACTCGGTGCCCAGCAGCACCCGCAGCTCGCAGAGGGTCTGTTTCTGGGGCAATCCTCACCTGTAGTTTTGGAGTTTAGCACAGTGAAGACAAGGAACCGGTAGCACACACTTGACAACCTCAGAATAGAAGGCCCTGAAGACAGAGAGTGCTCTGTCAGGCTGTCATGTTCCTTGTCACGAGCGCAGCCCTCACAGCACCACTGCTATGCCACAGGCCAGTACCTGAGGCTCAGCAGCGGGGGCTGCTGCCTCTGCCCTGGGCTGACTCCCTGGGGACAGCCAGGCACATGGGGACAGCCCTCATGGGTACATGTCCTCCAGTCTTGTTCTGAGGCCCTTCCTCCTGCCTGCATGAGGCACAGCATTCCCCTGCTCTACCTTGGCCTCTGAGTTTCCCACATGTCCTTGTGCTTCTGGCCTTGGTTTGCCCCTTCCTTACCCAGCTCCAGTTCCCACCTCCAGCCAGAGGGAGCCTTGTGGCTGCCCAAGCCACCTGCATAGCAAGACCCTCCATGGGCCAGGGAAGGGAAAACCCCAGAACTTGGTGATAGGAAGAGGCTTTAGACAGAACAACATTGAAGGAAGCATCATCCTGTGTACCACAGGCCCTCAGGAACACCTTTCAGATCATCTCCTTCCTGCAGCTGCTAGGCTGGGTTCACATGCCTGCTTCATACTTGCACTCATTTTTTCTCCTAGGCACAGAAACTCATCCCAGTTAACACCCTCCCTTTGCTACCGACAGTCCCTGAAGCTCACATCTTTACTCATCACTTTCTTAGCTTGCTCCACACTGATTTTAACACCCTGCCCAGTCCTGCTGTTAAACACAAACCCAGCAGGAACATTTACATCAGCAGTGCCAGCCGCAGACCGGGACATCTGTGATGCTGTTCTTAATGACAAAAAGTATTTAGAAAGCCTCTGAGAGTGCTGGATCGTGCTACACATTGCGATGTGCAGCAGTAAGTTAATGTGTCTCACAGTGTGCTGCCAAGAGCCCTGAGGAGGGTCCCCTGCACTAAAGGAGACACACTATCATTTAACACAAACTTGAGGTTCTTGATCCAGCATTATGTCTGGTCCTGGGTGAAACCAAGACATTAAGAGACGTGTCACAGTCCCGACCCACTCACTTAGTCATCTCCTAGCGCTTGTTGCTGAGCACAGCGCTGTGTATTTTGTTACTTGGATGCCAGTAGGCCTGCCCAGTGCTGGTTTCATGGTCCTTGGTGCCGAGGAGTCGATGCTGCCTTTCAGGAGGGCTCTGTAGTGATTTCACAGCTGCCTCCATTCCACTGGGATCTTCCCTGTCCCGCTTTCCCTTCTGCAGAGCAAACTGACCATCCCTCGCTGTCAATTAAAATGAAAAGGAGCGAGAGGACAAAAGGACATCGCTCCACTGAGCTGCAGCAGCGCTTTAATGAGCTGTGGAAGTGCTGCTCATCCTCCTCCCGACACCGGAGCCTGCAGCTGCGCCGGCGCCAGCCATCAGATGCAATTAGCAGCATGTGGGCACAGGGCTGGGGAGTGGGGATGGGACCTGCCAGGGCCTGGACATGAGTGGGGGAGATCCCGAAGAGCCTGTGTATGGGGTTTGCATGGCAAGGTTCTGGTAGCAGGGGGCTACGGGAGTGGCTTCTGGGAGAAGCTACCAGAAGCTTCCCTGCATCTGACAGAGCTAATGCAGCCGGCTCCAAGACAGACCCACTGCTGACCAAGGCTGAGCCCATCAGTGATGGTGGTAGCACCTCTGGGATAACAAATTTCAGAAAAGGGAAAAGTTGCTGCACAAGAGCAATTGCAGCCAGAGAGAGGAGTGAGAATACGGGAGAGAAACGGCTCTGCCGATCTCCAGGTCAGGGAAGAAGGAGGAGGAGGAGATGCTCCAGGCACCGGAGCAGAGATTGCCCTGCAGCCCACGGGCAGACCAAGACGAGGCAGGCTGTCCCCGCGCAGTCCGTGGAGGACCTTGGTGGAGCAGATCCCCACCTGCAGCCCACGGAGGACCCCACATCGGAGCAGGGGGATGCCCGAAGGAGGCTGTAACCCTGTGGGAAGCCTGCGCTGGAGCACGCTCCTGGCAGAACCTGTGGCTCTGTGGAGAGGGAAGCCCACGCTGGAGCAGGGGAGGAGTGTGAGGGGTCCTCCCCTGAGGAGGAAGAAGCAGCAGAGACACCGTGTCATGAACGGG